GCTTGCAGATAAATATATACATGTCATTCTTACATACAAACTTTATATAATATATATAAATATAAAAATATACACATACACACATATATAATACATAATAATGACATATATGTATATATGTATCTGCAAGCCAAATTACTATCACTTGCAAATCAGTAAATATCAGTGTTTATAGAGCACTATATAGAGAGCGTGTGTGTAGGTAGACAGATATATAGATAGATGTGTGTGTGTATGTGTGTATGTATGTATGTATGTATGTATGTATATATATACATCAGTGTGTGTGTGTGTGTGTGTGTGTGTGTGTGTGTGTGTGTGTGTGTGTGTGTGTGTGTGTGTGTGTGTGTGTGTGCGTGTATGTGTATATGCATACACACATATATGTAAATATACATACATTATATACATATACATATATATATATATATATATATATACATATATATATATATATACATATATATACATATATATACATACATATATATATATACATATAAATACATATATATACATATATATACATACATATATATACATACATATATATATACATATATATACATACATATATATACATATATATATATACATATATATACATACATATATATATGATATACACCTTTTTTATCTAGACATATATACATATATACATATATAATTTATATATATACACACACGTCTAAATATATCTGCCTTTTTATCTATATATCTGTCTATCTACGCACACGCTCTCTACAAAACACTCTCCCTCTCTTTTTCTTCTTTCTTTCTTTCTCTATCTCTCTCTCTCATATATATATATATATATATAATCACATGTAATACACCTGAACATACATCCTGAATTCTTCTCCGGAACAAACCACTTAAATGTACAGGAATATCCAAAGGTCCGCGAAGCCCGCCGATCAATGCCAGAGCCACAAAAGCGTTCCGCCTAACAAGGCCCAACACCTCGAGGTCCAGATGTCACTCTGGCCCAGTTTCTCGCATTGCACGAACCGCATCTACGACCTTCCTTATCGTTATTTCTCCGCATGATTCAGCTCTTTTTTGGCCCTTCTACGAGCTATACAAAGGTGTGCCGAACGAAGCCCCTTCGAAGGCCGCTCGCCAAGCTCACTATAAATGTATGGGCGAGCGTCGCTTCGACATCACAGCGACTCTCATCTCCGCCACTTCAACATGTTCAACAAGGTAGCTCTTTCTACCTTCGCATTCTCGATTTATTTAGTCTTGTGCTACACGGAACCATATGGAGTGCTGATTACCCCCGTCCCCGGTGTTAAGCAGATGGAAATTGTTATCTAATAGTACGAATTTCGCTTTCAGTCTGCCTTTCATTCCACAAATGAACCACTGTTGTAATGAATGTTTGATTTCCCGTAGGCCGCTCTTTTGCTTGCTCTGGTGGGCGTGGCCCTCGCCGCCCCTTCCGACCCCTATGGCCCACCTAAGCACCAGCCTGTCTACAAGGAGGTAAGGCCGCCCATAAAATTTCTATAACTTGGGTTGCAGACCATTAACTATAGAGAAAAAACGAACTGATGTGTGTATATATATAAACATAGAAACAGAAATATTCAAATATACACCTGTATCACAAACAGGAACCGCAGCCATACCAATTCGCTTACGGAGTCAAGGATGAATACGCCGGCACCGACTTCGGTCAGAGCGAAGAGTCCGACGGCAAAGCTGTCAAGGGATCCTACACTGTCCAGCTCCCCGACGGCCGCAAACAGACAGTGAGTAAATAAAACGAACCTTAATGAATATCTAAACAATAACGTAAGAATTGAATAGCTGAAGTATTTAACTTCCGCGTGGTGACCATCTTTTCCTCAACAGGTGAACTACGTAGCCGACCACTACAACGGCTACCAGGCTGAGGTCAGCTACTACGGCGAGGCTCAGTACCCCCACGAGTATGGTCCCCCTGTCACCTTCAAGCCCCAGGCCTACCACCCCCAGCCTTCCTATAAGCCCGAACCTTCATACCATTAATAATGTCAATGGTGTATATGCATTTCCATATCGTGTTTAATTTATGTCATAAATAAATTTACATGAATATTCACGAGCGTGTTAAGACCATTAGAATAAACATTCATCATATCCAAGTGTTACAGATACGGGATGCATCAGACATTCGATATTAATATGGATTTTGACTTTTATGATTCATGGATTCATCATGAAAGTAAGATGCAGCCCTGAAAAAAATCCAAACTAAAATTTGACACCCATCAAGTAGACTTCTTGTTCAAGATAGATAGATAGATAGATATAGATATACATATAGATATATATATATATTTTTTTCTTATAAAGGTCCATTCAAATATTACAAAATTTATTCATAGAAGCTTAAGCGTACTCTCTTTCTGTGTGTGTGTGTGTGTGTGTGTGTGTGTGTGTGTGTGTGTGTGTGTGTGTGTGTGTGTGTGTGTGTGTGTGTGTGTGTAAATCACGTTCACGTTTAACAACGTATGTGTGAAGGTACTCTAGAAAATACTGTCGGCAATGACATTTCAATTAAAGCATTTATATGAAAATGTGTGACAAACGATTTAACCTCGAACAGATTACAAAACGTAAGGGTAAAAATGTCTAGATTCATTAATATTAATGAGCTATTTCCCATTGGTACCGAGGATAAAACTATGACCATTGAAATATCTTTATATAAATAAATTCTAAATCATTCTCTAGTTTCACAATATTTATATGCCAACATTTAGATACAATTCTAAAATAAAAATGAAAGCGCGTTCAACAAACCAAGAATACCTGCCGGATTAAAAACAGAAAAAGCAAGCACGAACTAACACGAATAAAAGGCTGTCGATAAAATCAAATCTCGGAAAGTGAACGCGAAAAGTTACGTCAAAAAATCAACACAGTAACAACGACTCGTATAAAAAAAGAACGGTCACGCCCGCAAAGCGTTCCGTAATCAATTAGACATCTAGAGGCGAGAATTCCGTGAGCTCCACCCATCCCCTTCTCCTCCTCCACCGCCTTCCCCTCCTTTTCCTCTCCATTCCCTGATCTCCCCCTCCCTTTTTTCCTAATACGTTCCTCTCCCTTTCCCTCCCCCTACTCTCCTTCTCCATTTTCTCCCAATACCTTCCTCATTTTCTTCCTCCCCCTTCTCCTCTCCTCTCAATTCTCCTTCTCCCACTTCCTTCCCTACCTTCCCCTCCCCCCTCACTCCCCACCCATTACTCCATTCCCCTATCACCCCTATCACCCCTCTCCCCACCCCACGCCCTCGTGACGACACCTGGTACCCTTCATGCTTCGCACTCGCCCATTGTTTTCACTCCAGTTGGACGGAAGGTTACGTGCTTACGCCAATCACTCGGTGGTTGGGCTTAGCGTTTCATCACACCGCTACAGAGTAATTGATGGATGGATGTGTGTCTTCCATTCATCTTTTTTTTTCTTTTTTTTGTAATTTCTAGCTTGGGTGCTCCTTTAATAGAGAGAGAAAGTGCGTGTGCAATGTACGTTTTATATGAGCGTCAACTGCATGTGAGTGAGTGAGTGAGTGTGTGTGTGTGTGTGTGTGTGTGTGTGTGTGTGTGTGTGTGTGTGTGTGTGTGTGTGTGTGTGTGTGTGTGTGTGTGTGTGTGTGTGTGTGTGAGAGAGAGAGTGAGAGTGAGAGTGTGAGTGTGCATGTGCGCGTACATGCAGGTATCACAGTAAGAGTATGTTCGCGTGTGATTAATAGGCTACGCAGTGAAAGAGCTTTGAAGCACTTTTTCACAATTGCTACTGCTGGTTACCTTTTAAGTGTGCTTGTGTCATGTACGTCTGTAAATGTGGTTTTATATAAACATTAAATACATATATGCGTGCGTGTGTGTGTGTGTATACACATGTATGTAATATTTATACATGAATGCGGGTAGATAGTATGCATCCACATACACATGTGTATGTGTACACAAACACACACACATACACACAAATGCACACACACGCACGCACACACACATATAAATACATATAAATATATATACACACACATATATATGTATATATATATATATATATATATATATATATATATATATATTTATATATATATATATATATATATATATATATATATATATATATATTATATTCATATATATATGTGTATATATAAATATATATATATATATATATATATATATATATATATATATATATATATATACATATGTGTGCATATATCTACATACATACACATCTATAATATATATATACATGTATATATATATATATATATATATATATATATATATATATATATATATATATATATACATATGTGTGCATATATCTACATACATACACATCTATAATATATATATATATATATATATATATATATATATATATATATATATATATATATATATAGATATAGATATAGATACAAACACACACATACATATGTATGTGTATATGTACATATATGTATATGTACATGCATATATATATATATATATATATATATATATATATATATATATATATATATATATATATATTTGCATATATGTGTGTATATGTATGTATGTGTATATATGCCCAGCTGTATATATTCATACATATCTTTTTAATTATGTATGTGTGTATATATGTATATATGTATGCATATATATACGGATATATGGTATATGTAAATATATGTATATGTATATATATGATAATACAAAATAAAAATGACTTTCGCAATGCACAAGAAAAAATAATGTCGCCTGAAAACTATGATAAATGCTGGTAATAACAATCCACACAGGAAAATTGCCATTACAGGCAATAAAAACCAACACAACAGAAAAAAATAAATAAACACAAAATACGCAACATCTTTCCCTCGGCGACCTCAGACCAAATCGTTTCGTCTTGTGATTCAGCTGTTTCCCGCCCTTCTAACGCGCTATACAAAGGTGTGTGTCCGACGCCCACTGGCTCCGCGAAGGTCAAGTCTGAGTGCGCTATAAAGGCGAGGAGGACCCACAGTCCAGCATCACAGTCTCCTCATCTCTCCTCCGCGACATGTTCACTAAGGTGGTCTTCCCCCATGGATTTTAAATTTGTTTTTTTTTTGGTTGTTGCTTTCTTGAAATACAAACGGAATGTGAGCTGTTGTTTTTTTATTGTCGTGCTTTACGGGTCCTCAACTAGTGTGGATTCTTCTATTTATTTGATCTTGTCGAGCGGTAAACTGTTGCGTAAAACTACCCATTTCCTTCCGACAGGGCGTCTTCGTGCTTGCCTTGGCGGCAGTGGCTCTCGCTGCCCCTTCGGACCCATATCATCAGCCGGCCTACAAGGAGGTAAGTCATGTTGACACTTATCCATCACTTAGCCAAAACATATAATGAGCATATTATAGAATGAAATGACTGACATTATATCACAGTTGATGAGAGTTTAAATCCTAAATTAATCTTAAAAGGAGCCGAAGCCGTACCAGTTCGCCTACGGAGTCAAGGATGAATACGCCGGCACCGACTTCGGTCAGAGCGAGGAGTCCGACGGCAAAGCTGTCAAGGGATCCTACACTGTCCAGCTCCCCGACGGCCGCAAGCAGACGGTAAGATTTATTTTTCTAAAAATATTTGTACCGCAAGGAAACTGGTCAATTTCTCAATATGAACAGCTATATTGGAAGACTGGAATATTTCCTTACTAATGTTTTTTTTTTTTTCATCAACAGGTGAACTACGTAGCCGACCACTACAACGGCTACCAGGCAGAGGTCAGCTACTACGGCGAGGCTCAGTACCCCCACGAGTACGGTCCCCCCGTCACCTTCAAGCCCCAGGCCTACCATCCCCAGCCTTCATATCACTAAAGCTAATATAATTTATACATAGACAATATTCACTGTACGACATAACATGATTTATTAAAAAGATAAGAATAAAACAATGCAGTTTATTATACACTTAGACGCAAAGGCAATATTTTTTCTAACAAACACTTAGATTCAAATATAATATGTTTTGACTGAAGAGTGACAACAGTTTTTACTGACAACAGTTACATCATTAAAAGTATATGAAGCCATTTTATTACAGACAAGAAAATCAACGCGCAAACAATCTGTGACTTGCTCTTATTCTGGTATTTGCATACCTTCTTTCAAGGCACACAGTCCTACTAAAAAACTAATGTTTAGAAACAAATCAATTCTACGCAGTTTCGAACAAACGTATATCATCAACTACAATGTACAAAAATAAACATAGAATTTATTAGACATCTTAAGACTACTGCCAGAGATAAAAAAACAAACAAACAAAACAAAAAAAATACAATATCGGATTCATATACAATGGTTTCCCCTCAAGTACTGAGAAAAGGGTTATAACTGATCTCAGAAATCTACTATGCTGGCTGTCTATCCACCTACCGGTATTGATTCACAAGTTAACCCAATCGCCACGTATGGCAGGAATACACGCCATGTCCAGTGTAATAAAAGTTTATTTATTGTATTTACACATAGATGGTCCAACACGTGTTTCGTCACCAAGAAGTCGGTTATTAGTCCTAGCAATCTCACTTGTTTACCCTTTCCTCGACGTTTGGAAAGGGTCTTTTGCATTATCTCATTAAATGTTATCGAGATTTTAATAACAATTTAATAATCATAACATCAACAGCAATAATAACAGTACCGATGACAACTGTATTAAAAAGAAAAGCACATTTTCCCGCCAATTCAAGGAATGAGGAAATCAGGATCGGTCACTAGAGCTACTGATAAACTACCAGCCGGCTGAGCACATGTGGAGCCATCTGTATGTAACATTCACAAAAAAACTACAAGGGACAGAATATAAATCCGGGGCGGTTAGGTTAATGTAATATTCAATATAAAAATAACTCACAGAATTCTAAAAATACCTGAATATATAGAAAAGTATAGTATGTTAATCTAAGCATGTTGTCACTGAAATAATTATACGTTGATTTTTTTTTTTTTTTTTTTGTCTGATTCGCGAAGCAGAGCCTCGCCCGGGCTATGTCCATGAGGGGAGCCCGGTTTTTACGTTGACAACATATCTCTTAAGGTATTGTGGATATCTGGAGTTTATTTAAGTTCTAACTACAAAATAATATTACCTGACGACAGGCCCAAAATATAAATTTAGGCTGTTAGGTTAAGCTAGGAATAGTCAGATATCAACTGATGACAATTTCTTTCATCTCCATAGCTATTTCTTGCGATGTGGCAAAATTTGGCTAACCACTCTACTCGACCCACCAACATACACTCACACATGGGAGAATGTGTATACATGCATGCGTGTGTGCTAGCGCGTGTGTTTGTTTGTGTCATAATAAACTAAAATCATCAGTCTTGATGCATGAGTTATCTTAAGAAATTCATTTATTAGACACTATGTTATTAGAGTTGTAATATAATAATTAAACAATTATTTTCAACAATTTGAATTAACAGATCAGGAAGAACGTTGATATCTGACTAATCAAAATTTCATAATCACTAGATGCTATTACAGGAGAATTCATCATTTTTTCTTAAAGATGCTATGGAAACGCGTTTCTTTGTTTTTTCCCTGAAAGAATGACAAGGCCATGATGTATATTCACAAATCTTATCAAAGCTTACGCTTCAGTAAACAGCCTTCTTTGAAAATCTCTCCTTTCCCAGATTAAGTCGAAATCCTCTTGGATTTTCTAAGACTATTCAAGCACGTGTCAGGCGGCCGCAGCTTCGAAGGTCACGCATCATCACACTCACTATAAAGGTAATGGGGAGCCGTCGTCCAGCATCACAACCTCCTCATCTCCACCGCGTCAACATGTTCAACAAGGTGCTCTTCCGCCGATGGACTTATGGTTCTACAAGTCGAATGGATTGTGATCTGTGATTTTCGTAATGTGAATAAGCAATATATATGAAAACAAATTCTTTCACTGTGGTGCTTGATAACAAACATTTCCTTCTGACAGGGTGTTTTGATGCTTGCTTTGGTGGGCGTGGCTCTGGCCGCCCCTTCGGATCCGTACCACCAGCCTTCCTACAAGGAGGTAGGTCGTGAGTATATGCACTGTGAAAACGTGTTTTTCTTCTGCCAATTTTAGATTTTATAGAATTAAACATTAACATAATCCCAAAAGGAGCCGAAGCCGTACCAGTTCGCCTACGGAGTCAAGGATGAATACGCCGGCACCGACTTCGGTCAGAGCGAGGAGTCCGATGGCAAAGCTGTCAAGGGATCCTACACTGTCCAGCTCCCCGACGGCCGCAAGCAGACGGTGAGTGTGGCGGCTGCTCTCGGCATATACTATTTCAAATTATGATGAATGAATAACATATTTACCTCGAACTGCTAACGACACGATATATCTCTCCGCAGGTAAACTACGTGGCTGACCACTACAACGGCTACCAGGCTGAGGTCAGCTACTACGGCGAGGCTCAGTACCCCCACCAGTACGGTCCCCCTGTCACCTTCAAGCCCCAGGCCTACCACCCCCAGCCTTCGTACAAGCCACAGCCTTCGTACCACTAAAGACCTCTTGAATGTTTATATAAACAAGTCAGTTCAATTAGTTTTGAACTAAACTATGTAAATTATCGACTATTAAAAGTAAACCAATAGAAATACAATTTATTATACACCTAAAAGCAATTGACAGAGAAAAGAAATCAGTTGAACATATTAAAATTATATTTGACGGGGTCCCCTAAATGCTCGAAATCTGGAAGTCAGCAATACTCCACGGTACAGATCGCTAGTCAGTCATACATTCTAGTCATCAGTATGAAGTTAAATGACAATAAAAAAAACATTCTCTTTGGAAAATGGAGAAGTATCTAAAATAGCAGTATATTATCTCCATCCGTCTCCAACAGCAGTAATTTGAAAACATAACCTCTTGTATTATCATTTATATTATAAGTACTTACAAATATGGCCTGAATTACAGTGTCAACATATTGCAAAGCGAATCCGTTAGGTTAAGCTACATATAAATAATGATCCACTGAAGACAGTGATTTATTTCTATACAATTTCCGTAGACTCAAACTTTACGATTAGTGAATAAATAATGTGCAAATATTATCTCCCAAACTATCTTTAAAGTACAGTTCGATCCACTGAAGACAACGATTTATTTCTATACACTTTAGGTAGATTCCAACTCTGTGATTAGTGAATAGATAACATACAAATATTATCTCCATAACTATTTTTAAGGTAGTTCTCGAATCAGTTGCAACATGTGTACACCGTTTCTTAATTATTTCCGAGTTTGACAAACTATTTCCTTAACTTTCTATCGTAAATTGGGAATTATATAATACATTTCTTGAATGTAAAAACTATACGCCAAAATTAGTTTTAAGCACATTTAGTGGCTGGCTAAAAATTCATACGTGTATGTATAAGTGTTCTATGTGCATGTGTGCGTATGTGTATGTATATGTGTACGTGTGTGTGTATGTGTATGTATATGTGTACGTGTGTGTCTATATAATTATTTGCAAGCGCGTCTATATAAATGTGTGTCAGTGTGTGTATGCATGCAGTGTGTATACGTTTTGTGTGTACATGGGTGCGTGCGCAAGCATATAAACAGTGATGTTGTCGTAAATTGAAATCAGAAAGGCCTCTCCCCGGGAAACATTGGGGAAATCAATAAGGAGTGAGATCGCATCAGTTTTAAGACATGAGTTACCCAAATGAATTCACTTATCATACTATTATTGGTGAATCCATAATGAATATTGCGACACAAAGAAGAAAGTAAAGCAAACGAAGAACATAAACGGATTACATTTTTTTTCTGTAGGTGCACGGGAAATTGTGTTTTTCCTAAAAGGATGACATTATGTTGTACATTAACAAATCTTATCAAAGCTTATGCTTCAGTAAACAGCCTTCTTTGGAAATATCTCCTTTCCCAGATTAAGTCGAAATCCGTTCCTCTTGGCTTTTCTATGTCTATACAAGAACGTGTCTGGCGGCCGCTGCTTCGAAGGTCATGCATCACACTCACTATAAAGGTAATGGGGAGCCGTCGTCCAGCATCACAACCTCCTCATCTCCATCGCGTCAACATGTTCAACAAGGTGCTCTTCCGCCGATGGACTTATGGTTCTACAAGTCGAATGGATTGTGATCTGTGATTTTCGTAATGTGAATAAGCAATATATATGAAAACAAATTCTTTCACTGTGGTGCTTGATAACAAACATTTCCTTCTGACAGGGTGTTTTGATGCTTGCTTTGGTGGGCGTGGCTCTGGCCGCCCCTTCGGATCCGTACCACCAGCCTTCCTACAAGGAGGTAGGTCGTGAGTAGATGCACTGTGAAAACGTGTTTTTCTTCTGCCAATTTTAGATTTTATAGAATTAAACATTAACATAATCCCAAAAGGAGCCGAAGCCGTACCAGTTCGCCTACGGAGTCAAGGATGAATACGCCGGCACCGACTTCGGTCAGAGCGAGGAGTCCGACGGCCATGCTGTAAAGGGATCCTACACTGTCCAGCTCCCCGACGGCCGCAAGCAGACGGTGAGTGTGGCGGCTGCTCTCGGCATATACTATTTCAAATTATGATGAATGAATGACATATTTACCTCGAACTGCTAACGACACGATATATCTCTCCGCAGGTAAACTACGTGGCTGACCACTACAACGGCTACCAGGCTGAGGTCAGCTACTACGGCGAGGCTCAGTACCCCCACCAGTACGGTCCCCCTGTCACCTTCAAGCCCCAGGCCTACCACCCCCAGCCTTCGTACAAGCCACAGCCTTCGTACCACTAAAGACCTCATGAATGTTTATATAAACAAGTCAGTTCAATTAGTTTTGAACTAAACTATGTAAATTATCGACTATTAAAAGTAAACCAATAGAAATACAATTTATTATACACCTAAAAGCAATTGACACAGAAAAGAAATCAGTTGAACATATTAAAATTATATTTGACGGGGTCCCCTAAATGCTCGAAATCTGGAAGTCAGCAATACTCCACGGTACAGATCGCTAGTCAGTTATACATTCTAGTCCACAGTAAGAAGTTAAATGACAATAAAAAAACATTCTCTTTGGAAAATGGAGAAGTATCTAAAATAGCAGTATATTATCTCCATCCGTCTCCAACAGCAGTAATTTGAAAACATAACCTCTTGTATTATCATTTATATTATAAGTACTTACAAATATGGCCTGAATTACAGTGTCAACATATTGCAAAGCGAATCCGTTAGGTTAAGCTACATATAAATAATGATCCACTGAAGACAGTGATTTATTTCTATACAATTTCCGTAGACTCAGACTTTACGATTAGTGAATAAATAATGTGCAAATATTATCTCCCAAACTATCTTTAAAGTACAGTTCGATCCACTGAAGACAACGATTTATTTCTATACACTTTAGGTAGATTCCAACACTGTGATTAGTGAATAGATAACATACAAATATTATCTCCATAACTATTTTTAAGGTAGTTCTCGAATCAGTTGCAACATGTGTACACCGTTTCTTAATTATTTCCGAGTTTGACAAACTATTTCCTTAACTTTCTATCGTAAATTGGGAATTATATAATACATTTCTTGAATGTAAAAACTATACGCCAAAATTAGTTTTAAGCACATTTAGTGGCTGACCAAAAATTCATACGTGTATGTATAAGTGTTCTATGTGGGTGTATGTGCATGTGTGTGTATGTGTATGTATATGTGTACGTGTGTGTGTATGTGTATGTATATGTGTACGTGTGTGTCTATATAATTATTTGCAAGCGCGTCTATATAAATGTGTGTCAGTGTGTGTATGCATGCAGTGTGTGTATACGTTTTGTGTGTACATGGGTGCGTGCGCAAGCATATAAACAGTGATGTTGTCGTAAATTGAAATCAGAAAGGCCTCTCCCCGGGAAACATTGGGGAAATCAATAAGGAGTGAGATCGCATCAGTTTTAAGACACGAGTTACCCAAATGAATTCACTTATCATACTATTATTGGTGAATCCATAATGAATATTGCGACACAAAGAAGAAAGTAAAGCAAACGAAGAACATAAACGGATTACATTTTTTTTTCTGTAGGTGCACGGGAAATTGTGTTTTTCCTAAAAGGATGACATTATGTTGTACATTAACAAATCTTATCAAAGCTTATGCTTCAGTAAACAGCCTTCTTTGGAAATCTCTCCTTTCCCAGATTAAGTCGAAATCCGTTCCTCTTGGCTTTTCTATGTCTATACAAGAACGTGTCTGGCGGCCGCTGCTTCGAAGGTCACGCATCACACTCACTATAAAGGTAATGGGGAGCCGTCGTCCAGCATCACAACCTCCTCATCTTCACCGCGTCAACATGTTCAACAAGGTGCTCTTCCGCCGATGGACTTATGGTTCTAGAAGTAGTATGGATTGTGATCTGTGATTTTCATATTGTGAATACGCAATACATAAGAAAACTAATTGTTTCACTGTGGTGCTTGATAACAAACATTTCCTTCTGACAGGGTGTTTTGATGCTTGCTTTGGTGGGCGTGGCTCTGGCCGCCCCTTCGGATCCGTACCACCAGCCTTCCTACAAGGAGGTAGGTCGTGAGTAGATGCACTGTGAAAACGTGTTTTTCTTCTGCCAATTTTAGATTTTATAGAATTAAACATTAACATAATCCCAAAAGGAGCCGAAGCCGTACCAGTTCGCCTACGGAGTCAAGGATGAATACGCCGGCACCGACTTCGGTCAGAGCGAGGAGTCCGACGGCAAAGCTGTCAAGGGATCCTACACTGTCCAGCTCCCCGACGGCCGCAAGCAGACGGTGAGTGTGGCGGCTGCTCTCGGCATATACTATTTCCAATTATGATGAATGAATGACATATTTACCTCGAACTGCTAACGACACGATATATCTCTCCGCAGGTAAACTACGTGGCTGACCACTACAACGGCTACCAGGCTGAGGTCAGCTACTACGGCGAGGCTCAGTACCCCCACCAGTACGGTCCCCCTGTCACCTTCAAGCCCCAGGCCTACCACCCCCAGCCTTCGTACAAGCCACAGCCTTCGTACCACTAAAGACCTCTTGAATGTTTATAAACAAGTCAGTTCAATTAGTTTTGAACTAAACTATGTAAATTATCGACTATTAAAAGTAAACCAATAGAAATACAATTTATTATACACCTAAAAGCAATTGACAGAGAAAAGAAATCAGTTGAACATATTAAAATTATATTTGACGGGGTCCCCTAAATGCTCGAAATCTGGAAGTCAGCAAAACTCCACGGTACAGATCGCTAGTCAGTTATACATTCTAGTCCACAGTAAGAAGTTAAATGACAATAAAAAAACATTCTCTTTGGAAAATGGAGAAGTATCTAAAATAGCAGTATATTATCTCCATCCGTCTCCAACAGCAGTAATTTGAAAACATAACCTCTTGCATTATCATTTATATTATAAGTACTTACAAATATGGCCTGAATTACAGTGTCAACATATTGCAAAGCGAATCCGTCAGGTTAAGCTACATATAAATAATGATCCACTGAAGACAGTGATTTATTTCTATACAATTTCCGTAGATTCCAACTTTACGATTAGTGAATAAATAACGTGCAAATATTATCTCCCAAATTATCTTTAAAGTACAGTTCGATCCACTGAAGACAACGATTTATTTCTAAACAATTTAGATAGATTCCAACTCTGTGATTAGTGGATAGATGACATACAAATATTATCTCCATAACTATTTTTAGGTAGTTCTCGAATCAGTTGCAACATATCTAGACCGTTTCTTAATTATTATTTCCGAGTCTGACAACTATTTCCTTAACTTTCTATCGTAAATTGGGAATTATATAATACCGTACACATTTCTTGAATGTAAAAACTATTCGCCAAAATTAGTTTTAAGCACCTTTAGTGGCAGACCAAACATATTCATACGTGAATGTATAAGTGTTCTATGTGGGTGTATGTGCATGTGTGTGTATGTGTATGTATATATGTATTTGTGCGTGTATCTATATAAATATTTGCGCGCGCGTCTATATAAATGTGTGTCCGTGTGTGTATGCACGCAGTGTGTGTATACGTTTTTTGTGTGTACAAGGGTGCGCGCGTAAGCATATAAATTGATGTTGCTGTCGTAAATTGAAATCAGAAAGGCCTCTCCCCGGGAAACAGGGAAATCAATAAGGAGTGAGATCGCATCAGTTTTAAGACATGAGTTACCCAAATGAATTCACTTATCATACTATTACTGCTGAATCCATTATGAGTATCGCTACACAAAGAAGAAAACAAAGCAGATGAAGAATATAAACGGATAACATTTTTTTCTGTAGTTGCACGGGATTTCCCCCCCCCCTTAAAGGATGACATTATGTTGTATATTAACAAATCTTATCAAAGCTTATGCTTCAGTAAACAGCCTTCTTTGGAAATCTCTCCTTTCCCAGATTAAGTCGAAATCCGTTCCTCTTGGCTTTTCTATGTCTATACAAGAACGTGTCTGGCGGCCGCTGCTTCGAAGGTCACGCATCACACTCACTATAAAGGTAATGGGGAGCCGTCGTCCAGCATCACAACCTCCTCATCTCCATCGCGTCAACATGTTCAACAAGGTGCTCTTCCGCCGATGGACTTATGGTTCTACAAGTCGAATGGATTGTGATCTGTGATTTTCATGTGAATAAGCAATACATAAGAAAACTAATTATTTCACTGTGGTGCTTGATAACAAACATTTCCTTCTGACAGGGTGTTTTGATGCTTGCTTTGGTGGGCGTGGCTCTGGCCGCCCCTTCGGATCCGTACCACCAGCCTTCCTACAAGGAGGTAGGTCGTGAGTAGATGCACTGTGAAAACGTGTTTTTCTTCTGCCAATTTTAGATTTTATAGAATTAAACATTAACATAATCCCAAAAGGAGCCGAAGCCGTACCAGTTCGCCTACGGAGTCAAGGATGAATACGCCGGCACCGACTTCGGTCAGAGCGAGGAGTCCGACGGCCATGCTGTCAAGGGATCCTACACTGTCCAGCTCCCCGACGGCCGCAAGCAGACGGTGAGTGTGGCGGCTGCTCTCGGCATATACTATTTCAAATTATGATGAATGAATGACATATTTACCTCGAACTGCTAACGACACGATATATCTCTCCGCAGGTAAACTACGTGGCTGACCACTACAACGGCTACCAGGCTGAGGTCAGCTACTACGGCGAGGCTCAGTACCCCCACCAGTACGGTCCCCCTGTCACCTTCAAGCCCCAGGCCTACCACCCCCAGCCTTCGTACAAGCCACAGCCTTCGTACCACTAAAGACCTCTTGAATGTTTATAAACAAGTCAGTTCAATTAGTTTTGAACTAAACTATGTAAATTATCGACTATTAAAAGTAAACCAATAGAAATACAATTTATTATACACCTAAAAGCAATTGACAGAGAAAAGAAATCAGTTGAACATGTATTAGAATTGTATTTGACGGGGTCCCTTAAATGCTCGAAATCTGGAAGTCAGCAATACTCCATGGTACAGATCGCTAGTCAGTTATACATTCTAGTCCACAGTAAGAAGTTAAATGACAATAAAAAAAACATTCTCTTTGGAAAATGGAGAAGTATCTAAAATAGCAGTATATTATCTCCATCCGTCTCCAACAGCAGTAATTTGAAAACATAACCTCTTGTATTATCATTTATATTATAAGTACTTACAAATATGGCCTGAATTACAGTGTCAACATATTGCAAAGCGAATCCGTTAGGTTAAGCTACATATAAATAATGATCCACTGAAGACAGTTAGTGATTTATTTCTATACAATTTCCGTAGATTCCAACTTTACGATTAGTGAATAAATAACGTGCAAATATTATCTCCCAAATTATCTTTAAAGTACAGTTCGATCCACTGAAGACAACGATTTATTTCTAAACAATTTAGATAGATTCCAACTCTGTGATTAGTGGATAGATGACATACAAATATTATCTCCATAACTATTTTTAGGTAGTTCTCGAATCAGTTGCAACATATCTAGACCGTTTCTTAATTATTATTTCCGAGTCTGACAAACTATTTCCTTAACTTTCTATCGTAAATTGGGAATTATATAATACCGTACACATTTCTTGAATGTAAAAACTATACGCCAAAATTAGTTTTAAGCACCTTTAGTGGCAGACCAAACATATTCATACGTGTATGTATAAGTGTTCTATGTGGGTGTATGTGCATGTGTGTGTATGTGTATGTATATATGTATTTGTGCGTGTATCTATATAAATATTTGCGCGCGCGCGTCTATATAAATGTGTGTCAGTGTGTGTATGCACGCAGTGTGTGTATACGTTTTTTGTGTGTACAAGGGTGCGCGCGTAAGCATATAAATTGATGTTGCGGTCGTAAATTGAAATCAGAAAGGCCTCTCCCCGGGAAACAGGGAAATCAATAAGGAGTGAGATCGCATCAGTTTTAAGACATGAGTTACCCAAATGAATTCACTTATCATACTATCACTGCTGAATCCATTATGAGTATCGCTACACAAAGAAGAAAACAAAGCAGATGAAGAATATAAACGGATAACATTTTTTTCTGTAGTTGCACGGGTTTTTTTTTTCCCTTAAAGGATGACATTATGTTGTATATTAACAAATCTTATCAAAGCTTATGCTTCAGTAAACAGCCTTCTTTGGAAATCTCTCCTTTCCCAGATTAAGTCGAAATCCGTTCCTCTTGGCTTTTCTATGTCTATACAAGAACGTGTCTGGCGGCCGCTGCTTCGAAGGTCACGCATCACACTCACTATAAAGGTAATGGGGAGCCGTCGTCCAGCATCACAACCTCCTCATCTCCATCGCGTCAACATGTTCAACAAGGTGCTCTTCCGCCGATGGACTTATGGTTCTACAAGTCGAATGGATTGTGATCTGTGATTTTCATGTGAATAAGCAATACATAAGAAAACTAATTATTTCACTGTGGTGCTTGATAACAAACATTTCCTTCTGACAGGGTGTTTTGATGCTTGCTTTGGTGGGCGTGGCTCTGGCCGCCCCTTCGGATCCGTACCACCAGCCTTCCTACAAGGAGGTAGGTCGCGAGTATATACTCTGAAAACGTGTTTTCCTTCTGTCGATTTTATATTCTATAGAATTAAACATTAATATAATCCCAAAAGGAGCCGAAGCCGTACCAGTTCGCCTACGGAGTCAAGGATGAATACGCCGGCACCGACTTCGGTCAGAGCGAGGAGTCCGACGGCCATGCTGTCAAGGGATCCTACACTGTCCAGCTCCCCGACGGCCGCAAGCAGACGGTGAGTGTGGCGGCTGCTCTCGGCATATACTATTTCAAATTATGATGAATGAATGACATATTTACCTCGAACTGCTAACGACACGATATATCTCTCCGCAGGTAAACTACGTGGCTGACCACTACAACGGCTACCAGGCAGAGGTCAGCTACTACGGCGAGGCTCAGTACCCCCACCAGTACGGTCCCCCTGTCACCTTCAAGCCCCAGGCCTACCACCCCCAGCCTTCGTACAAGCCACAGCCTTCGTACCACTAAAGACCTCTTGAATGTTTATAAACAAGTCAGTTCAATTAGTTTTGAACTAAACTATGTAAATTATCGACTATTAAAAGTAATCCAATAGAAATAGTTTATTACACACCTAAAAGTAATTGCCAGAGAAAAGAAATAAATAATATTAAGTTGATGTAATTTGAGAATTATTTTTGACGGGGTCACCCAAAGTGCTGGAAATGTGTAAATCAACAACACTCCTAGGCACAGACCGCTAGATATTCATGAATTCTAGTTGTCAGTAAGATATTCAAATGACAAAATCAACCCAAAGCACTCTCATTGACAAATGGAGAAGTGTCTGAAATAACAGTATATCATGGCAATTTGCGTATACTGTATCTTCAAAAAATGTAATCTGAAATATTATCCTCTTATCCTGCATTATTACTGATAGTAGGGCTATGATGAGTGCTAACCACATGTATGGCCTGAATTACAGTGCCAACATATTACAAACTGAAGCCGTTAGGTTAACCCATTCGCCCCGGATTTATGTTCTATCCCCTGTAGTTTTTGGTGAATTTTGTTACATACAGATGGCTCCACATGTACTCAGCCGGCAAGGAGTCTATCAGTAGGCCCTAGTTACCGACCCTGATTTTCCCATTCATTGAATTGGCGGGAAGATTAATAGTATTGCTATCAATACTGTTATTATTGTTATTGATGTTATGATTATTAAAGTCATTAGAATATTTTAGACAATGAAATGATACAAAAAAAAACTCTTTCCTAAAGTGAAGGAAAAGGGTAAACAGGTGAAAAAAGTAGTTCCTGATAACTGGCTATTTGGTGATAAGAACTTGTGAAGCCATCTATGTGTAAATACAATAAATAAACGTGTCTCAAAGTAGGTATGGCATCTATTCTTGCCACGTGGGGCAAATGGGTTAAGCTAGAAATAAGCAATGATTCACTGAAGACAGCGATTTGCTTTTATATCTCCATAACCACTTTTACATTTCTCGTATTGCAAAATGTCTAGGCCGTTTCATAATTATCAATTCTGAGTTTGTACATTCTCCTTGGTTTTCTCTCATAAATTGGGGATTATATACCATACATATTTCTTAAATGTAGATACTATATGCCAAAATTAGTTTTAAGCACCTCTAGTGGCTGACCAATCGATTCATCTACACACATCCATATGTGTATGTGCAAGCGCTCTCTGTGTATGCGCGCAAGCTTATGCTACAAAGTGATATTGCTGTCATAAATTGAAACCAGAAAGGCCCCTCCCCGGGATATATTTTGGGGAAATCAATGAGTGAGAGCTCATCAGTTCTCAGACAGCTATACTTACAAAACTCACTTATCAGACACCATGTAATTAGATTTACAACAAGATAATAAAACAATTCCATTCATAATAACATGCTATTATTGGTAAATTCATGATAATTATCGTAACACAAAAAAGAACAATGCAACAAAAGAACATCCATTAATGTACCATTTATCCTACACGTGCTATGATCTTTTTTTTTTTTTTTTTGAAAGGATGACAAGTCTATGCTGTATATTCACAAATCTTATGCTTCGGCAAACAGCCTTCTTTGGAAATCTCTCCTTTCCCAGATTAAGTCGAAATTCGTTCCTCTTGGCTTTTCTATGTCTATACAAGAACGTGTCTGGCGGCCGCTGCTTCGAAGGTCACGCATCATCACACTCACTATAAAGGTAATGGGGAGCCGTCGTCCAGCATCACAACCTCCTCATCTCCACCGCGTCAACATGTTCAACAAGGTGCTCTTCCGCCGATGGACTTATGGTTCTACAAGTCGAATGGATTGTGATCTGTGATTTTCATAATGTGAATAAGCAATACATAAGAAAACTAATTATTTCACTGTGGTGCTTGATAACAAACATTTCCTTCTGACAGGGTGTTTTGATGCTTGCTTTGGTGGGCGTGGCTTTGGCCGCCCCTTCGGATCCGTACCACCAGCCTTCCTACAAAGAGGTAGGTCGTGAGTAGATGCACTGTGAAAACGTGTTTTCCTTCTGTCGATTTTATATTCTATAGACTTAAACATTAACATAATCCCAAAAGGAGCCGAAGCCGTACCAGTTCGCCTACGGAGTCAAGGATGAATACGCCGGCACCGACTTCGGTCAGAGCGAGGAATCCGACGGCAAAGCTGTCAAGGGATCCTACACTGTCCAGCTCCCCGACGGCCGCAAGCAGACGGTGAGTGTGGCGGCTGCTCTCGGCATATACTATTTCAAATTATGATGCATGAATGACATATTTACCTCGAACTGCTAACGATACGATCTATCTCTTCCGCAGGTAAACTACGTGGCCGACCACTACAACGGCTACCAGGCTGAGGTCAGCTACTACGGCGAGGCTCAGTACCCCCACGAGTACGGTCCCCCTGTCACTTTCAAGCCCCAGGCCTACCATCCCCAGCCTTCGTACAAGCCACAGCCTTCGTACCACTAAAGACCTCATGAATGTTTATAAACAAGTCAGTTCAATTAGTTTTGAACTAAACTATGTAAATTATCGACTATTAAAAGTAATCCAATAGAAATACAGTTTATTACACACCTAAAAGTCATTACTATGTATACGTCAAATATTTAATCCATTTTAGTTTTAACTTAACGGTATAAACGACGATCTATTAAAAGTATATAGAAAGTACGCTTTGTCAAATACCTAAAGATCATTGCCAAATATTTTTTTTTTAAATCAAACGCATGAAATATATAAACACTCGACTTACAAGAAAAGAAAAGAAAAAAGAAGAATACTCTCCCAAATAAACGGAGAAA